CTACCTACCTACCTACCCAACGACCTCGATCGTCAAAACAGGCCAGTCCAAGTCAGACCTGGAAGGTTGTCTGAGCGCTAGCATCGCGATACTTCTGGTTTCCTCGACCCAAAACCAGACATCCAACAACGTCTTTTCATGATCGAAATGACAGGAAAAGGTGGAAGCAGCCAGGTGAAATGCATACAACGCAAACAGATGGAAAGGTCGCTCAAATCGATGTCTGTCTCGCTCCCCTTTTGTTATGTAGATCATCACTCCACTATCAGATAACGGGTGGGAAACTTCTCATACCCATTGTGTGCTGTTGAGAAGGAACACTATGGCGGACACAGACTAGTACGTGAATGCAAGTGATAGAAACGATGAAACAACATCACATCTGATTCGCGTTTTTTTTCCCTGCTCATATCCACAATTCATTTTCAATCTGACTACTCGAGTCTTCTCTCATTGAGGAAACTCATGCACGGAGCTCTCTCGAGAACTTCATTCAAACGGGCCAGCCTTCTGCTTGCTGACCATACATACTTGTGAAGATGACGCAACAAACAGTGAGCTCACTTTTGATTCTATAGTAGGTTATCCGGATACTAACTCGCTAGTTCTACAGTTACCACCTGTTTGAGGCTGATGAATGTGGATCTCATCGAAAACGGACGAATGATCCTGGAAAAACGTCATTTTGCGCAGATATCAGCTGCTTCAATCATGGATTTGGATCAGCTACCAGCCTCTCTGCTTGTCACCACAGACTGTGCTGTGTACAGCCCGATATTTCTATCGTGTTGTAGGACCTCGCCAGAATCCTAGTCCATCTGATTGTTTCAATACGATTCAGCCCTCTGTCGTGCAGTGCTATGCCCAGACTCATAACGGCATGAACTGCAAGTACTGCAGCTAGCTGCACAAATCCTGCGAAATTGTATGTTTTCATCATTGTTCCTGTCTATTTTGTGGTAACGATTAGTGCTGACTTCGCCTTCTTCCAAGGTTCCTGAGGGAGTCGAGAAAAATCCCTATTGCCCTTTGACCTAGTCATGGAAGTTGCGGACAGTGTTGGACACCTTGTCGTGAGCTTTGACAACTTTGTGAAGACTCATCGTCGTACCCACTCTCTTCCCGGCACGCACGTTGCTCAGGTAGGTTCCTCGCCTTCTTAACATGTAGACCAGTATCTTGTTTTGAGGTTAATACCTTCTCATGATCAAGATCCTCTGGCTGTGGGCAGAAAATCATTTTCCGAGTTTGCTCGTCACCGTGAAGCACTATGTCCCTCGCAGCGAGCATTTTAGCCACCTATTTGGTAGAAACTTCCTCAGTCTCTCTCTCTTGTTCTGCTAAGAAGGCGCGTGACTAAGTCAATGGCACTATTCCTCAGTCGAAGAGGATAGAGGGTCGTGACTGAGACCGGACCTTTATCTCGAAATTCAAAATTCGAATGCAACGTCTTGTGATAATCAAGTGTCTCTACAGAATCTACTATTCTCCACTAGTTTTTGGACACAGAACTAGATAGCCTCTAGATAGCCTCTTTCTTCTAGACCCCAGAAGCTCTCAAACACATCACTTTTATCAAATCCGTTGGATATTTCCCAAGAAGAACAACTACATGGTCAAAGTCCCCAGTCACTCGCGTTTAGATAGAATGTTGTGGTCCCGCTCTGGAACTCTGTAGATCAGCTTGGTCGTTCTGTGTATGAGCTCAACATTAACAGCGTTTGCTAGTCTTTTGATGCGCTTGGAGGATCCTGCCTACCTCTTCTCTCGATTCCAATTCATCCTCTTCTTCCCATCCACATAGTCCATGCACTAACCCATCGTTATTGTTTCATGCGACACGCAATCTATGCACGATGAATATCCCTCACCAGAACGTGAGTACCTACATGCATGCATGCATCGTAATCGCAAACAAAGACCAGCTAACACGTCCACAGCGCAGCATGACAGGCCATCTTATCCGCCAAGTCCGCAGACGTAGCTACTCGGATCCAAATGAACGCATCCCACCGGGTGTAGAAGAAGTGATCTCGCGCGGCTCCTGCCATGTCGGCAAACTCAACGACAGCATGGTCCTGAAATACGCCTCCGACTTCAATGATCCTGGCTATCTAATGAGCATCAAAGTGGAGAACCGCATCCTGCAAATCATAGGCCCGCACCCCCGGATCATCGAATCCAAGGGCCTGGCCGAAGACGGTCTCATCCTGAAGTACTATCCCAACGGCACGCTCCGCGACTACATCAAGAACCACCCGTACGAGACGCTCGAACGTCGCCTGGAATGGTGCAAGCAGATCACCGAAACCCTGTCATTCGTGCACTCCAAGCGCGTCATCCACTGCGATATCTGTCTGCACAACATCCTCCTCGACGAGAACTTCGACATTGTCCTCTCGGACTTCCAGGGTCTGGTCATTTCGCGCGAGACTGGTATGACCATGCTCGATGGATTGACGCGCGAGTGCGCCAAGTCGTACATGCCACGGGAGAATCTCTATTCTGCGAGCTTTCGGACTGATCTCTTTGCCGTCGGATCAGCCATCTATCATCTTATTGCTGGTCATGAGGTTTTTCCCGAGTTGGATAGCTTTGATGATGAGAAGATCATCAATGCCCGTTTTGTCAATGAGGAGTTTCCGAATAATGATTATGTGGCTAGTCATATCGTGGAGAGGTGCTGGCGAGGGGAATATGCCTGTGCTGCTGAGATTTCGGCGGATCTTTCTGAGGTTCAGGCTGCTACGAAGGCTGTTGATGAGGCGTTGAGGCAGATAGGTGAGGTGTTCGAAGATGAGGAGCGCGTCGAAGAAGAGCGCGTTGAAGAGGAAGATCATGTTGAAGAGGAGCACGTCGAAGAGGGCGAAGAATCTCAAGACGACGGGGAGGAGGACGGAGACTACGAAGAGGACGAAGAGTCTCAAGACGACGGGGAAGAGGACGGAGAGTACGAGGATGAGGATGAGGATGAGGATGAGGATGAGGATGAGGATGAGGATGAGGATGAGGATGAGGATGAGGATGAGGAGGTGTTGTAAGCGTTGAGTACGCATGACTCAGCTGTACTTCACTGGAGAGACTCGTCGCCGAAGAATGGAGTTGAGACGTCTCCAAGGATATCATGTATTCATGTCCACTGTCGAATTGGCAGGTTATTTCTAGCAAAAATCGAAAACAGCCTCTCTAATGCAAATGATCATGGCTCGTGTTCAGCAACTGTTTAGCAATTATTCTAGGATTCGGTGGGAACTTTTATGGCAAGGAAAAGCAGTCTATGCCTGCTTCGTCCAGCGGTGACTCTCGTCACCCTCTTCCCACTCGTGCTCGACATAGCCCAACTTCTTCTTGACTTCCTGGACCTTGGCTGAATCGCCCATATTTTTGCCCAAATTGTCACTAAGCTTGACCGCGGGACTGCCGTTCGCGGTGGCGATCTTGATAACAATGTTGAGGGGCTTAGATTTCTGTCCGGTTGATTTATTGATGAAATCGTCTGGGAATCTCTTAGCGTTTGGGTTTTGCGCTGTAGGATTATCAACCTCAAAACTTACTGGTAAAGAATGTTCCCACTCCAAAGGTAGGGTTAAAGCCTGCCTTTTCGGCAATTGCCTTGTACTCCAGGCAATGCTCAATATCCAGCGAATCTGAGAATACCACTGTCTTGGAGTCGGTGATACCTTGGCTATCATAGAAGTCCCGGACCATCTTGACGAAGAACGCTGGGTCACCTGAGTCTTGGCGGACGCCGGCGTAGCTCTGAGCGTAAGTCCTCGTTTTCGGTTGAATGTCACCCTGTTGATTTGGTACTGAAATAGGCTTGCTGAATGCATCCAGGAAAGCCGGTGTGCCAAAGGTGTCAGTGAGAGCGATTCCAAGAACCTGTGTTTCTCGAGTTAGTCCGTGGCGTTTCTGAATACTGGGAGATTGAAAATCACATACTCCCTCTCCGAAACAGCCAAGCCAGTAACTCAATGCCAACTCATTGGCCTTCTGGTAGTCATCCGTGATAGCTGCAATGGTCATGTACCATTCGTGTGCCACAGTGCCGACAGCACCCTTATTGTATTTCATAGCAAAGTGTACATTGCTGGTTCCCGCCATCATACCCGGCCAGCCCTGCTTCTTTCCCTCCTCTGCCGCACGGCAGAGTCCCTTCATTACCAGGTCCTGGGTGTGGTAGTCGCGGCGACGGCGCGAGCCGAACTCGGAGAACACACAGCCATTCTGGAGTAAAGTGCATCCTTTCTGATATGCCTTTTCCTCCTGATTTTCGTAATCCCAATCTTTGTCGGTGAACATGAAATATGCCTGGCTAGTCAATGCCAGTAATGGGATTTCATACAAGATCGTATCAAGCCAGAGACCATCGACAATGTACTCCACATTGCCCTCGTCACTATCACTGCCCGTATCATGTTCCGGAACAAACTTGATCTTGATATGCTCGGAAGGTCTGAGGTGGAAGGTCTCTAGGAAAGCGAGGTATTCCTCATTGAGGTAAGGACACTTTTGGCGGAGCCATTCACGCTCTTCGGCGGTGACGCGAATTACAGCCAGCTCTAGACTCACAGAGGTTACTAGCTGTGCTATTGTGACCAAAAAACGATATCCTTACTGTCCATCTGCTCCAAAAGCCATTTGTATGCCCCACGTTGTAATTTCATGTGCGGGGTCCGATTCGTGTAGCCGTAGGTCACATCTGCACCCAGATCAGCTCCAGATCCCACATTCCTCGGTTGGGGTTACTCACAAACATCCGGGAAGTATTTGAGGACCGCGCATTGCATCGTCAGCTTGTACAAATCTGTGTCCAGCAGAGATGTGACACCCTGTGGTGGGGACATGTCGTGGCCCATCTTGTTGTTTAACCGGGAGTTCTGGTCTATCGGTGATGTTTCAATTGAAAGATGTAGATCGCTAGAAGTTGGAGGGCAAGTAAGACAGCTTTCTAGGTGACAATAACCGGGTGGTTGTGGTTTCTTTTCTTTTATTTTTTTTTTCTATTCAGTTGCGCAATCAGCTCACAGCGGGGAAACATGCCGATATGCTGATGATCTGTTTGCTCTGTTTGCACTCTTTCTGCGTCTAAAGAACGGTGCACTCGAATGTGTGACGATGCCCAATGTTCTACTCGGATTAAGCAAAATAGATGATAGAGCAACCACTGGGAAAGATCCCAGCACAAGCGAATCCACCTGTTGTGCTCCGATCACTATCGTGAAAATGTAGGAATCGACGATGGTGTCTTTACGCACATGAAAGGAAGAAATTTGAAATACCAGCATAAATGCGGCCGAGAGCTACTGCATTCCTGTTGGTTGACAGCGGGCTTCCGGGGGAAACTGATGCATGCAATTTCGACTGGAGACCTTTTTTTTCAACCCCAAAAAAAAGCGAATGACAATTGATTAGAACAAAGTACGTCTTGAAAACAAAAGGGAGTGACTACTTCCATGTTGAAGTTGCAACGCAAAAAAAAAGTAATTTTGCATCATCCGTGAATCGAACACGGGCCTCGTCGATGGCAACGACGAATTCTACCACTAGACCAATGATGCTAGTTGATGTGTAGTAACAAAAAGTTGCACATCATAATCAAAATGTGATTGCAATTTTTATTTCTGAATTTGGTGCTACAAAAATTTTCGGATGTGTTGATTTTGACCAAGTTAATTTGAAATAAATATTTCAGTGTTTTTCTATGGCTGTTATTCATAGCGAGGTAAAAACTCTAAGCCCCTATATGAATGATGCTCTAGATATATACAGAGAGCGCCACCAGCACGCTGTAAATAGATTAATAGAATAAGACAAAAAGTGGGATTTGGCTTCCTTCACAATAAGCTCAGGGGTAAGCAGTGGGCATATGTAAATCTTAAGTGTATTTCTATAACACCGTAGAATATAGCATAAGTAATACAAGTCTATCCAAGATAGATTCGTTTAGGTGTCTTTCAGGGTTGCTGTGTGTCATTTTCTATATTTGCCAGGCAATGTAGAGCCTGTCGCATTAGTACAGATTCAAATAAACTAGTAGAAACCATTGTGGTATTCGAGTAACTCTTAGGGCGCTGCAGGGTCCTGCTCGATCGTCTAACCATCTATCCAAGGTTTGCCCGAACACCCTTGCCACCAGTAACTTCGGCCCATGGCTGGCAATCCATTTTTCATTGAGCGGAGGGGCCCAAGTCTTGAGAGGGCATAGTTTTCTCTGATTTTCACAATCGAGAAAGGGGCAGATGAAGATAGTTAGTTTCGTCACAAATGCAAGGAATCACAACCCCCTAGGCGCTTTAGGGACGAAGATGGCAAAGTGAGTAGCGACGAGAGAAACAGTGAGGATGGTAGATGCATCAACCATGACTTTCAGATTGGGGCTCCAAACTTGGGCGCATTGCCCACCAAATCCTACGAAACGAACGAGGACACTTGGACTTGTCCCATTTTTGAATCCCGAAAACCGTAAATCAGGAATTGGATCAGTGAGCTACGGGAACTACAAATTAAGGTGGAATTTCTGAACATCGTATGAACCACCTATCTAGGTAAGTCTGATCTGATCCAAATGTGGCACCTGGGCAATGGGCTGGTTGCTGGAGTTCGCTCCTTCCCAAAAGCGTCGTTCTCATGGGCTGGTAAAAAAAAATTCAGCATCGCGTGGAAAGTTTCTGTTGTCATTTCCTACGTGCGCGTCTATAATGTCTCTATTCAGCATCCAAGGTCCATCCAAATACAACCTGGTTGAATTACCTTTTCGGAACTGGTATCTTAATTGCCTTCATATTAGTATCGCGGAATATGATCCTCAAGAGAACAAGCCCTTTCAAGTCAACTGTGCTACCACTGAAGACGGAAAGGACTCTTCCCGTGGGCGTTGTAAGGAGCGGAAAATTACCTGTAAGACGGTAAGTCTCCTTCCCCTTGCCCTTCAATCCTAACAAGGAAAACAAGCCATCTATAGGAATGCTAGGGGACGTTTATGACTTTTGCGCGATTCTGGAGTGGGCTAGTGATTTTGGGGTTCGCTGCATAGACTTATACTGGAATTTGGCATCTCGCCTGGCTGTTTGTGAGGCCACCAAATGAAATGAGCCATCGCCGCCACCATATGTTGAGCGGCATTGATTGGGACGATACAAGCAAAGAGCAAGATGTATGTTTCTTTCGCATTGGAACCTTCCACGTGTAGTTCATTTGCTAACTTTAAAGTCATCCCAGACCGATATCAACAACTATCGAAGCTTCCTTGCTCAACGTCGTGCCTCGCTACATGCTTTGACACCCCCCACCGCCGGCATCATTAGTCGTCAGGACTGGATTACTTACAATCCGGAGAGACTGTTGCGTCTCTGCAGAGGAGACACTGGTTTCTTGGTGTGGTCAGAGGCAAAGACAGAATTCCTTGATCATATTCAGCGGGAATCCATTTCAATGCACGGTGGTGAGGGATCTAACATCGGAGGGTAATGACTGGCGTTCATTGAGGGCACCTTCCCCGCGAATCTGGAGTAGATTCAACAGAATGACGGCTCAGTTGCCATCGCTGAACTTGGGAACTTCTTCTTACATCGTGCTAAATGCTTTCCACATAATCAACCCTTTGACTTCGGATTAGGTGCGCATCTACAATTGTTGCTCGGGTATATGGCGGATTGACAGGGTGGCTGTGTGTGGTAGAATCTGTTCGCCTGCTCGCAATGCGTACTTTCATCCCCTGACAATTTATTTCTGCTGTAACCACAGAACTGGCCCTCAAATGAAGAGAGACATAATTACATGCACCCAAGCTTGAGCGCATGATATGTTCACGTACTTCCTTGTACGGGTCTCCCCAAAGGCCAATGCAAAAAGCGGCGTGGCGCCTTCATGGGTAATTTACATTTGACAGAGCAAGGCCTCGGGCATTTAAACCATCCATCCTTTCTCGTTTTCGTCAGCAACACTCTCCCGGTATGGATGGTTCTCGATCCATTCCTCTGCGCCGATCACTTTAGCGGATTTTTCATAGAACTCGCTGAGCACATCATTCAGCTCTGTAAATCGTCAACACCCGCCCAATCTCCCCCGTTGCTTTTCCTTGAACTTACTTTCGATTTCCATCGGACTTGAAGGTTGCAGGGAGAATCGAGAGACGCCTTCTCTCCATAGTACCAGCGCGGATGGGATGGGAGTACCTAAGCTCATAAGCGTCTATTTTTAACTGACAATCAAACATGGGAACGATCACACCTCGTGGAATGCAGATAACCGTGGGGTCCATCGGACATTTGCCGTCGCCGATCTCTTCCTGGTACCGTTCAAAATCAAAGCGCAGCATTTGCTGCATGAGACGAGAATTCGGCATGAAGATTGGCCCATTAGAGTCTAGTTTTTGCAGATATTCGTTAGACTCGATTATATCAGAGCCAGACAGGAGTCTACAGACAGGGGCTTGACTTCGAGATCGATGCGTGAACCAACCCATCAGCGGATACATTGACGGCATCTTTCCTGTGACGGGTCTCGTCTTGGGTCACATCATATAGTGTGGCCTTGCGCTCTAGCTGGTATCGATACAATGTCGCGGGGAATGACGCATGGGTAGAAAGTAGGGAGAACCTTCGCGCTTGGTTGATGTTCAGCCGGGCGGCTGGTAGCCAGTGAGTAGCGAGCATCGTTGCCAAAGTGTATAGCTGACGCTATAGTAAAACTTTTGAGCAGTGTGCGGTTAAATTAACGTGTAGAGAAACACGGGTCCATGACGTGATTACAGTGGACAAGGTTAAAAGTGGATATCACGTTGCTTGGAAGGTTCCTGAGCTCTTACGTTGCTACACATGTTCTTCGCAATTACAATTTGAAATCCAGGTTGGTTATTATATTCCATCGTTTCAATTGGGATCTTGACCAATTTATCCTTGTGTTCTGACGCCGGTCGCCGACGACCACAAGACACACCCATCCCCGACTGGAACCTGTGACCGCAATTCACTCGGAGAGCCAATAACAGGCACGGAAATGGCTACCATCACGTGATACCGGATTCACACATTAGTAATCCCCCCAAGTAAAGCATAGCCGTATCACATGACCACGTCGTTTTGGATATGTTAGGGCCTAATATACTCCTCCGTACATGCCGCTACAATGATAAAATAGACGTTCTGTTCGTCCTTATGATCATTGAGCTTAGTTAACTAGGCAGTTCTTCGCTGACAATACAAAATACACACAGTGACGCAGCAAAAGTCGTATGAGATACGCCATTGTTTGACGATATTCGGAAGCCGGGCGGGACACGGAAGGCTTTATCCGCTTCCGGGGAGATCGGCTAGCCTCGGGAATTTGGGTTAAACTTCACTCGCTACATTGAAAGATGATGAAGATCGAAGCATCCTCTGTGTAATGGCAGCATACGAACATTCTTCCACTGAGATCTACTCCCTGTTTAATCATTGTTCCCAATCGATTTAGCGGTCGAAAGAGATTTTCTTCAGACACACAGAGTGGGCCCGGAACCGGAACGGAACCGGAGCTGTAGCATTCCCCTGCGAAGACGCCAACAAACCCTTTTCGAGGTAAAATTAAAGATTAGATTCTTATTCGTTCCAGATACACTCCACCTAATGCGGGGAAGAAGTAAGAATCTTGGGTGTTTTTTTAGATCTTTGATTGGGATGCCAGACAATCTCCAGGCACAGGACCCAATGCCTCTAAAAGAGACTCTCTTTCCCGCCGCCACGTATGAAGAATCCAATCGGTTGATTAAAATTGTATCTCTAAAGTCATACGTCGAAGATGAGGCTAGAAATTCCCAGCTTCTTGATTTACATCTTTCAACCATTGCTTCACTCTGTCTGTCTCGTAGTTCTCTATGTCTGTACCAAGACATAGTGGGGCCATGACAGATTTTTCTAAACGTGGCCATCGGTACTCAATGAGTCAACGTCAACTTGCAACCGACTCTTTAACCAGACCAACATGGAGAAAAACATGGATAATACCAACATGCAAAAGGATCTGGAGAAAGACATGGATCTAGAGAAGCCACACGATCCCTTCGCTGGAGAAGATGTTGGTGGGGTGCGGTACAGGACAATGAAGTGGTGGTAAGGCTACAATTCCAGGGGGGGTAATGGGATGGTTAATGCAGAATGCTAATCCGGGTTGGATCCAGGAACTGTGCATTTTGTACATATACCCCAATTTCGACAATGTTCACTCATGGAAGACCGCTAAACAGCCACTAGTGATGATTGCCCAGTCCGTCTCCTTAGGAGTTCTCTCCCTCCCGTCGTCGATGGCAGTCTTGGGTCTGGTCCCGTACGTCTGATGGAGCTTCTCCAAACGTTCTTCTGGCCTCGTGCTAATCCTGACAGGGGTTGTATCATCATCATTGGCCTCGGAGCGTTGACAACTTACACTGGATATGTTGTCGGCCAATTCAAATTGCGATACCCCCAAGTCCATAACATGGCAGACGCTGCAGAGATCTTGTTTGGTCCGTGGGGTCGCGAGATCGTTAATGTTGCCCAGGTCATCTGTTTTATTTTCTTGATGGGCGCTCATGTCTTGACATTCTCCATCATGATGAACACGCTTACCGACCATGGTGCTTGTACCATTATTTTCTGCCTGGTGGGAACCGTCCTCTGTTTCGTTCTGACGCTCTCAAGACGGCTGGAGGAAGTGTCATATCTAGGAATTATCTGTATGTCAGAATTCCTTTCTGCCGCTGAACCTGACACTAACACACCTCCTAGCCTCGCTCTCGATCTTCACTGCCGTAATGATCACCATGATCGCTGTTGGCATTGAAGCACCGGACCCCCGAGCATACGCTATCACCCACCCAACTCTGATGAACGGCTTCTCCGCCACTCTGAACATCGTCCTTGCTTATTCCGGCCATATGTCATTCTTCAGCTTCCAGTCGGAGCTGGCAAATCCAAATGACTACCCCAAAGCGCTGATCGCCTTCCAAGCAACGGACACAACCCTGTATCTTGTCACGGCCCTGGTAATCTACCGCTACGCTGGGCCGAACGTCCTCAGCCCCGCCCTGCTGAGCGCCAGTGAACTCATTTCGAAAATCTCCTTTGGCATCTCCATCGGTACGATCGTCATTGCCGGAGTGGTCATTTGCCACGTCGGTGCAAAGTGCATTTACGTGCGGATCTTCCGCGGCACCCATATGATGAGCGAAAGGTCTTTCCGTTCGTATGGCACTTGGGTGTTGATCACTTTCCTCATGTGGGTTACCGCGTGGTTGATCGCAAACGCGATCCCCGTGTTCAACGATCTGCTCAATATGATCGCGGCGGCATTCTGCAGCTGGTTTTCGTTCGGTCTGGAGGGTCTCTTTTGGTTGAAGATGAACCGTGGACAGTACCTGGCAAGTAAGCGGAAGATGGCTCTAACTGCACTCAACGTCTTTCTTGTTGCCCTGTGCTGCCTGATTGTAAGTTTGATCGTCTTGGATTCTTGATGATTTGAGGCTAACGAATTAGTGTGGGATGGGTCTTTGGGCTACAGGAACGAGTATTCGGATCAATTCGCGGAGTGCACACCCATCTTTCTCCTGTGCATCCAACGCCTAGGCGACGCTCTCGCATTTTGGTCTTGATGGAAGACTCTTGTAGATGACATGGCGACGATGTATTTAGAATGTGCAGTTACTTGCTGAATTTCATGGTCCCAATTAATTCCCTCTTTCAGAACCCGAATCATTCAATGTGCCAAAGGTTGCCGGGTGCAAGTTGGGGGGCTCTGACCAGATCACCTTTTGTATTCTCCATGTCCCCTATGTTGGCCCAACCCAGTTGAGCTGAGAGGGTCAGTGCCCCCACGCAATAAGGGTGAATCGAGACCGTGAACAAAGACCCGATTCTTATAGGGGTATTCAAAATAGAGGGATGTGATGGTATCAACACCTCGTCCGCGGCCTTGGAGTGGGCCAGGGTGATTCTGAAGCGCTTAGTCCTGCATGCTTGGCGCTTGCTTAGGGCACACTTGCTACGAGCTAAAAGGACAGGACCGATGAAGATCACGAAAATCACGAAAATCACGAAAATCATGAAAATCAAGTCAGGGGAGCCGGAGCAGCCGGGTAACTCTGCACAGTCGTTGGTGGGGTCACACTTGGCGGGGATCAGACAACTGCGTGATAGGAGGACTTCCCAAGTTGTATCCGCAAACTATTTTTAACGAATCATTCGAAACGCAGAGGCGTAGGACCCATTTAAGGGGTCCCGCTTGAGGTACTCCAATGAAAATTCGACTTAAAGCTTCGCCTCGGCCAGGCTGAAACATTTTGCTTATTCAGATTTCCAAGTCCCTTTCTTTGAACTCGGCTTGAATCCCTTGGCTACTCTCGGCAGCTGGTTATCTTGAGGATGAGGTTGAAAGGTGCTGGCCATATGGCCATAGCGGCCTTGCGCATGTTACCGTTTCTCAGTCATGTCCACGCGATTAACCTGGATGTTAACGATCAGCGTAAGAGATTGAATCGCGGGGATTATTCTCCTATCTTTATGGCTGAATTGCTAATGACCAGGTTCCTTTTCGTCGTGTAGAATCGATCAAAGATGCGGGGAGCATAGCGGCCTACAACATGATGACATGGTACAAAGAAAATGGAACGGATAACCCGGGTTTTATCTCAAGATCTTGGTGGACGGGAGCGGCCTTGTTTCTGGCATGTCTCAACCATTGGCATGCGACGAACGACACCACATATAACGAAGAAGTCAGTATCGGCATGCAACATCAGGGAAGTCCGACAGGAGACTTCATGCCTACGTGGGCAATCGGTATAGTAAGTGTTCTGTTCAAGATCTGTTCCTCGCCATTCTGACCGGTCGATAGGGAAATGACGATCAAATGTTCTGGGGTCTCGCGGCGATCACCGCAGCTGAATACAAGTTTCCGAATCGGCCAACGGGTAACACCTGGCTCACCCTTGCCGAGGGTGTGTTCAACGATCAGAAAGCTTCGGATGGGAAAGGATGGGATACGACTGTTTGTGGAGGTGGCATTCGCTGGCAGAAGGAAATCTGGCAAAGTGGCTATACCATGAAGAACGCGGTGTCCAACGGTGGATTTTTCATGCTTGCCGCACGTCTCGCTTGGTTTACCCAAAAGAAGGGGTATTCGACGTGGGCCGAGAGAGTCTGGAACTGGTCTACCTCTGTGAATTTGGTCAATGATACCCTCTGGACGGTAGCAGATAGTGTCCGAGAGGGGACTGGAGGTCCCAATGGCTGTAGTCTTCCTGACAACACCCGGTGGACTTACAACTATGGTGTCTTTGCGTCAGGTGCTGCGTACATGTATGCCTATGTGAGTCCTGTCCCTTCATCTCCCCGCCCCTTCCCTAAGAAATTTCACATCTTGGTTGGGACAGGCTAATGACCAGCCTGCTAGACAAATGATACTAAATGGCTTGACATCGCAAACAACCTAGTGGATGCGATCTTTGCTACATTTTTCCTGCCCGAACACGGAGGCGTGATCACCGACTGGGAATGCGAAGCGTCGGGTGAATGCTATAAAGACGCGAACGGCCCACTTTTCAAAGGCCTTACGGTGTCATGGCTTGCAGATATGGCAATGGTCGTCCCTGCCCTTAAGGACAAGATCCTACCCAAACTCCAAATTTCCGCCGAGGGTGCCGCAAATTCATGCACGGGAAACAACGAAAACATCTGCGGAAACCGCTGGTACGGCGGATATGACGGACAAACTTCAATGGAGAATGCAATCAGCGGGAGTCAGATTATGAGTGCCGTTATGCTGAAATTTCTAGGCGCATCTTCCAGACCAGTCTCAACAGTAACAGGAGGAAATGGCACAAGTGATCCGAATGCTGGCATTAGGAAACCCATGGTTGCCGTATTGCCCCCCATAACAACGTCAGATAGAGCAGGAGCTGGACTCCTGACCTTACTTTTTGTGGGTTGTATTCTAGGTGGGACGGTCTTTTTGTTCATGGACCCCTGAACCCTAGACAGGGAGTCTCGATGCCAGTCAAAGAGGCATCGGTGAAGGTTTACAGGTTGATTTATATATGGAGTTGACATAATAGAATTGTTTTTCTTTTTCCTGCGCACTTGCAGCTTGAGCGTCGAACTATCGACCCCAAAGATGGTTGAGAGCACTCAGACCGAGCCTCATAGTTCCTGGTACCTCACACGTAGAGAAATCACCCAGTTCAATCCCACCGCGAATACGCTGCACAGCTTCAAGAGCAATCAACGCCCTCGACCGAATCGTGCTTTTGAAGCATCTGCCCCACTCGTGCTACTCCCACCGCACCCGACTTCCCCACAAGCTTCCCTCGCACGCCATCTAGGTTAGTCTTGTAGAATATGGAATTTCACGGACGCTAAACAGAAGCCCCTTCAGCCTGGCCTATTTGTTGATTTTTTTTTTGGCACTGGGGCTCCTTACCCTTCGCTAGCGATCTATTTATATCGGGCTAGGACTTGGAAGAATAGAATGTGAAGAGTGAGTCAGAGAGCAACTAGGACCACAACTCCAACGGGAGATAAGTAGCTCCTGGAGAGAGAATCTATAGACGGCTCTAAGAAGTTATTGGATAAAATCCACCGTCTTTCTCCTCTCCACGTTGCTCACCCTCTCTAATTGATTCAATGTTCACTTTTTCTTAGAAATTAGGCTTACTGAAAATTTTATCCTTTAGGCTAATCGTGTTAGTGTTTTACCCGCTAAATCTGCAGCTCGTCCAAAAAACCAGAATGAATGTCGACTTACCCGATTTTATCATTTCCGAGAAGAATACACTAATGTTTTTTTTTTAGAGGAGGGGCGTCCTATACAGTTTGAATTCGTCTCTTAGTAATTTCCGATCAAATCCCAAGACCCATGCCTGGTATCACGCCAGCACCTCGCACCCGGCGATACTGCACACATCCCGCGTCCTGAATGCTTGTCACAAGTATAACCAACCAATACAGTCTTTTCCTGTATTGCATGACCGCGTTGTCCATAAGCAGAGCATGGGTCAATCGAGTGCTCGAAGTAGAGACATTTGCAGACGGAGTAGCGTTCGACGACTTTGTAGCACATTTCGGATGGGTTCAGGATTGGCAATCAGCTGGTTGAGGATAGAAGAAGTATGGTTTATGTTTTCGGTCGAAAGCGAAGCAGTGAACCCGTCGATGGAGTGAACCGAGAGCAGACAAGGATAGGAAGAGACGCTGTCTTGCGAAAGAATGACCCGAATCGACATGAGAAGGGGTATATAGAGGGACTGGGCGATCTATGGACCGCAATTATAGAACGATTATGTCGATAATGAATGTCTTCCCAAAAGGCGTTATTTTGCCAAAATTGAAATAATATACAAAAAGAACCTGTCGATCCAAACCATCTCCCGTCAGCCCTATGAGTTGTAGCCCCAGGCAGAAACCACGAAATCAAGCCGGGCGCGCCCAATCGGCAAATATGGCTGAAAGTAAGTCTGAGTAGTACTCCACTCTGGCAACAGAAACTGGATGTCGACATGGGTCGAGCTTGGCAGGAAGGGGGGGGGGGGGGGGGTGGATACATAATCAAGTGAAGACGCCCACCAAATGAGAAATCCAGTACGAGTCGGTGAGCCACAGGCTGTGCAGCCACAGCACCGTGAGGAAATGTAATTCTCACTAGAGGAATATCAGATCACAGAGATAATTGGCTGAATGACGTAAATCAACCAAGCCCAAGTGGCTTGGGGGATCGTTTTTGAGTCAGAGACTCCAACACAGCCCCTGTCACTTCCAGAACTAGTCTTGCGGCTCAAGGGGTATAGGGCTGTTTGACCGCGTCTTGACAACGACATCCCCCATACTAAATTTGTCTCTTCTCTTAAAAGATGTAGTCAAGCGGTGACAGGGTGTTGGGGTGGATTTTTAGGCGCCCACGTTCAGCTGACGCTAAGACTAACAGAGTCTGTGTGCGGAGAACGGAGCACGGAGTACGGAATACCGATGTAGTAATTCGTAACAACCGGGGGGGGGGGCTTTTTTTATCCTTTTAGCTTGACGCTAATCACTGTCGTTGAATGGCAAATGTACCTTGTGGGTTAACCGTCAGAGGCCGTAGGGCTGAGGGCTCGAGCCCACTTCCGCTGATGCTTACCGATTTCGGCCAGCAGAGGGTCAGGAATGGGAATTGGGTACGGACACGCATTTCCATTGAAGATGCACTACGACATATGCAGGGAAGCTGGGCACTGGCTCTCAAAGGATGAGGTAGCAAAGTAGGTCTGATATCGTACAGTGTCACAAAGACAAAAGGCGGGGTCTTGAACAAGTCGATGTGTGTGCAAGTGGGTGCTAAGCTAAATTCAGGCCCCGGATTTTAAAAAAAAAAATCACCCATTGTCCAAACTCAGCTGCCCTCGTACGCTAACTCCGTAATTTCAGATTGATCCCATTGCCCCGTGACTCAACCCGCGTGCCAATCCCATTCGGAGCATCTGGAGGATGTCCTCGCCCTTGGCGGTCTCGGGAAGACCGGCCCGCCAATCCCATCCGCGATCGGCGACCTTGTCACCTGGGGCGGGCACCAGGACGCCCGAACTGCCTACAGAGGTAGGACCGGATCCTGAGCTGGAGCGTGTGCGCGCTGACTCGAGCATGTCGTTGCCGATGAAGGCGAAGCTGGAGGCGGAGAAATTGGACACGGATTTCTTCAATAGGGCGCGGGGGGAGGGGGGCCCATCTGATCCCCCGCGGATGGAGGATTGGTATTCGAGTAGGGTAGAGCGGAAACATTCCTCGCACTGTGCGTACACACGCGGGGTGACGGTTTCCAGATCTTCGATTGCGGACAGGATGGTGAACTGTTGGGATACGGAGAGGACTGCGGTGGGTTCTGATTGGGTATTAGTATGAGGAAAGAGAGTTGACGGGCGGAAGTTTGGGAGACTCACGGTTCACAAACACACAGGCTTCACCTAGAAGAGCCAGCAGTCCATCCACCTGCACAGCGGAATCACGATCTGGGTCGTAGAGACCTCCGTAAATGTTATCCGCCGCACTCCCAATGACAGCCGCAAGAGCTTGCGCAGCGGCGCGTCGCCGGGCCAAGGGCTTGTAGCGTGGTCGCTGGCCCTTTTGGAGTTCGAATTCCTCATCGCGAATCTCGTAGAATCGGCGCAGCGTCGCGTAGCCACTGAGATAGAACTGAAGGATCCGAGCAGCTTCTTCGTCGACTTGAGCAATGGACGAGAGGCATGCTTTGGGTTCCTTCATCAGAGAGTGCAATTGTTCATCTAGGTCGGCAGTCGCAGGGTACGCGCGTGATTGAACCAAGCTGTAAGAAATCAAAAGGTCGACAACGGACTTGACCTTGCGTCGGCTCTGGGCACGAGCATAGCAGACGAGGGCCAGACCAAAGTTTTCGGATTTCGAGGTCAACATGTCGCCAAATCGCTGTTAATCAATAAGCGTTTGGTCAGATAGTCAAACGCAATTCCTTTCTACCACTCACCTCAGATACTCGACGGCCTTGTTCCTCCAGCTCAAGTTCCGAGCAGAGAACCACTAGTTTGTCCAATTGATCAGGGCTTTCCAAAGGAAGTTTGTCCACGATCTCGGACACGGCCTTCTTCATCTGGCTTGCATCGTCGAGGCGGCTCAATACCTCAATAGCCAACTCCCATCCTTCACGGGAGCTGTGCTCGTTCTCAATGACGGGAAGATCATACAGCCCGAATGCGTAGCTGCGAAGAATATCGTCCTTATGCAACTGGCGAGCCGGAGACTTGTTGTCCTGTCCGTACGAAAGAACCATAAGATCATTCTCAGACAGCCCAGGCAGCGTCTTTTGGCTGCTACCGGACTCAAACCAACCTCCTAGGCTGGCAACTTCTGCGACAGCGGCAGCCACGCAAAGTGACCATGTCTGTATTAACTCCAATACACCCTGCACGTTGCCTTCGAAGACAGATGCGAGTCCAACTTCCACGCTGCTGAGCGTATTGGGTCGGAAATCCGCGTTGTCGGACGGGTCACTAGTAGTATGGCCGAGGGCTAGTTCGAGGCGGTCGAGGTATGCGCCACGCATGTTGCGATCAACAGCGCGAATGTGGTTCTTTGGGCCGCGCGAGCGCAAGAAATCCTGGAAGTTGTCGCTGGATGAGGTTGCGCCGAAATTCATACTGGAATCGGTGTCATCCTCACCATCCCACCATACTGTCAATGCAATGGTCGCCTCCACCCAGTCTTGAGATTTGCCCTTGATGGCAGATGGGTCGCCCAGAATAATTCGATAGATAGATCTCAAGCTCTGGTAAATTGACCATGGAACACGGCTTTCTGCCATGCGAGCCGATTGAGTGAATGAGATTGGCTTCTTGTCTGAGTTAAAAGTGGACAATCCGAAGTTAACAGCCTGAAAGCGATTCTCTGGAACTGGTACAACGGATTCATCGCGCTCCTGTCCCTCGGCGAATTCCTCTAGATCAGTGACAGCCGAAAGCACTCGTTTCCTATACTGAGACCAATCAAGGCCGGTGATCTCCCAATCTTCAGATTGGGTTCCAGGGCATGATTCAAGAATTTGAAGAGCCTTGTTGACGCAACGCTGGATATTTTGCAGCTGTGCGCCGCGGTAGCCCGGTTGTGAAAGTCCATCCTCCAATGCTGATCGGGCGTAGTTGAAGTCCGCCAAACGGAGAACATCTGCGGCATCAGTCAAGCGACCACGCAGCACAGATGCAATGGTAATATCCCAGAAATTTGAGGATGCGCTAGGGTTCGGTTCCACGTATTTCAATGCCTGGAGTTCCTTGGTCTGTGATGTGTGGTTTTCCCTAAGCCAGCCAAGCAAAACCTGTGGCAGGGGCTTAGGAACTGGGGGTCTCGTGGCTTTCACCATACCAGCGGCCCCGGTGCGCATAGGGTTGATGTTGGCAGTTGAGGGTGCTTCCCGGGAAGGGTGGTGAATTTGCAGCAGCAGCGAAGCCAAGAAGGTAGCTTTCGCGAGGTTGGAAGCCTGCTCCCCGGGCCCGATGCCAGAGTGGACACCGTAAGGCCGGTCGAGCCCACTTTCATTGGCGCAAGCCTGCCAATTCTCCGCCAATTCTTTTGATACTTGAGCCAATACAGCATCGAAATCAACATGTTTGAATTCTGCGGCTTTAAACTCATCGGAGAGTTTCCCCAGGGTATCCTCTGTTTTGATGATTAGCTCACTTGGCTCTTTAACAATGGCAATACGGGATCTGGCAGCAAGGTTGTGAAGAATAGATGGCATCGCAGACGGCTTCTTGGGGGCCAAGTTGGTCTTGCGGATGGGAGACTGATGTGCCCAGTGCTCATCAAGCTTCGGTCGCTTGGAATCGCTTGGATTCGAATAGATCGGTTTGCGCTGCGCACCCATGGAGGGCTGGGACGCGAAAGGGTTTCCAAAAGCCGAGTCTAAGAAGTTGAAAGTGTTGGTCTGATTCTGGGTGCTCAGGTCCATTTCCTCTTCAACTTCCTCCGCCTGTTCTATCCCGTCTTCCGGCTCTTCATTGAAGTCACTCATTTGGGATGAGGCAAACCCATTAGAGTGTCCGAAGCCCATCGAATCCCCAAACCCGCCTCCATTCGGCACACCGAAACGAAGACTGGAGTTTGCTGCGGGCTTTGTAGAAGGAGCTTTGGTTTTCTTGGGCATGGCATAATCCGTCGATCCAAAGGACGAGCCAAAGATGCTGTCATTTGTATTGATGTTGCCGGATTTGGTAAAGATGGAGTTGGAGAAGTCATTTCTCGAGAATGAGTTCTGGTTTGTAGAATATGCGTTGTCATTTCTGGAAAGGGAATTGATGCGCGAGCCACCATTGATATTTGATGTAGAATGCGGTATGATTGAGCCTGCAGTCGACGGCGGCGGGCCAGCAGGAGTTGTCGACAAGTTACTCCAGAGGCTGCGAGAGTTGTCTTTCTCTGGGGTCTCAGGTGGACTGGACTCGTAGGGCACTTGGAACGACATCGCGGTGTGGGGTTGATCACAGTGAGAAGAGACGGTTTGACGGCATCAGAGGATGCAAGTTTTAGGTCGCAACAGCTCTAAGAACTGTTAGATGGAACAAACGACAATCTCAATCAAGAAAGACTGATTCGTCAAGCAGCGATGAAGGTCGATGCGGTGGATTGTATGCCGGAGAAGTTCCCTCTTCTCCAAGCTTGCTTGTTTGTCTTGCTCTTCACTTTCCGCTTGGACGCGACGGCGAAAGTTATCAGGCACTCAGGCAACGATGCTCAGATCATGTGATTATTACCGAACGCGAGTCACGTGAAGTTGATGACTCAGAGCGGTCTAGACAGAAACCTTGAAGATCGGGCCAAACAGTCCACCACGTGGCGATCGCTCACCACAACTTGTCCGTTGCCCTGCATACCCCGGGGCCATCAGGCAGGCCTCAGCAGTCGGAGGCCAAATCTGGTATATCTGGCTGCCTGGGGGATTGAAAAGCATACTTTATGGGATGAGCCTGCAAAGATGTTTGCCAAAATTTCTTGTTCAAAATAAGGCTACGCCTTTCATTGATCCGAGAATCCAGATATACCATGAAATCAGTGGTCTCGAGTTATCAGGAAACATTGACAGATTCATTTCCAACGGTACCATTCTCAACTTTACTAAATTCAGGTGCCCAGCATCACAGCTCCTATTACCACAACTATGATGTTAGCACAACTAACAAAACACACCTCTTTCCCATCACCAACCCCTCCTTTGCACCGGGAAAGCTAGATCTTACTTTCCAGAGTAGCCCCGACTCTAGTAGACCCGTTACGGGGGAGTATGTATGGAGTAAGTTCGGACACTTCTGTCCGACTGTCAGATGGATTGAGGGGACGTCGGGCGGGTCAATAAGATGGATTGGGAATACCTCCACAAGGAAGGCTTTCCGAAGCGCCGAATTTAGTTCCGCATATCGCTAGACAATCGGCTAAGCAAATTTTCAATCAGGAATGAAACTGCTCGCTTGAGGGTTGATATCAAAACCCCAAACTCGCTATGTAGACCAGCTAGACTGTGATGGAAGTCTTTTCTTCTCGCAGCATCTTTTTAAAACTAGCTCGCAACTTAGATATATCACCTCTAGCACCACGGCTCCACTTTATAACAATCATCTCGGGATTTACCTTGATCGAAAAAGTGAGGCGTGCGAAACAAAGCTTGGTGGGGGCTGGTGCTGGCGCGGCAGGTGGGGGACGATCAGTTTGGTAGGTCGAGGCCTTGGAAATGTCATTAATGGCGTTAGCTATACTCCGTAGTACACAGCTACGAAGTCATGATTACCTTGAACACGTGCAATTTAGATAATGTCATTTTAGCCATGATAGGGTACCCTTAGAAACCCTTAACGTAGCTGCCAGGTTCTGAAAATTGATTTGAGCACTCCGTACGGAGTACTCCGTACTTTTTTCAAAATCGACCACTTTGACTTTACGGTTAAATACAATTGAGACCTCCGAATGACCAAAAGTGAGGCATAGCATAGGACATGGTTTCAGATAAGCCTTTTTTTCGGTTTGATCGACAGGGTTCTATTACATAATCCTATACTGCCGGCCGAGGTCCCCGACCAGATCGAATCCTGTTGCCTGCCCTTAAAAAAAGGTAAAACAACCCTAAACATGAAAAGAGCCTCGGCATTTTTTCCTTCTTTTATACTATGATCCAAATATTACATGAATATGGCGCTCCGACGACCACATCGGAAATCTCGCCACGGCTGCGTGGAATGCAAGAGGCGACGAGTGAAGGTATGAAATAAGAGAGTAGAAGAAAAAATGCAGCACACTCATCCCATCATAGTGCGACGAATCCCGGCCATCCTGCACCAACTGCGCCAACCGCTATTCCGAATGTGAGTACGGGTCGTCATCCTCACTACTGTGGGCAAATGAAGGGCCCGATAGTGGACAGACAGGCGAGCCAGCATCGGGACTTTGTTCACCGTCGAGTTCAACCATAGGAACGGGGGCAGCAGAGTCCCTCGGAATCCTAACCCAACTCGGGAGCGAAAATGCCGTAACCTCAGCCGGGTCTGCGCTGAACCTCAACGACCTGGAGCTGATGATACAGTGGTGCAGCACGACATTCCAAACACTGTCACGCAATGAGCGCACAGATCCAATCTGGCGCACTATAGTGCCTGAAGAGGCGCTCTCGCACCCATTTCTTATGCACGGCATCCTAGCCCTATCATCGCTGCATCTTGCTAGAACAGGGCCTGAGCCAGCGCGTCGCGCATCGTATCTCAATCGCGCTGTCGCGCACCAGAATCAAGCACTGGCGCTGTTCCGGGAACTACTGGGGGACGTGAAGGAGAGTAATGCCAAGGCGATGTTGGCTTTTGCAGGAATTGTGGTTATCTACACGTTTGCATTCCCACATACGCCGGAAGCGCAGGATCCATGGGACTGCGTCGATGATTTGTACCAGGTTCTTGTTTTGACCCGCGGCGTGCAACAGGTTATTCATGCGCCGCAAGATTTTACGAGTTTCTTAGGAGACAGTTCTTTTGGTCCGATTTTGCAGGTTGAGGAGGCTCGGGGTACGATACCTGAGGATACAACTGCCATGCTCACACAACTGCGTGAGGCTAACAAAATCTGCGGGGAGCGAGATCCGAATCATGAGATACAGGTCTACGAAGGGTCCATTTCGAATCTCGAGGAAATGCTCAGTTGGTGTTACAGCGGGATGAGGGCAAATACGATTGCCGGGAGGTGGGCAATCCGCTTGCACCCTCGGTTTATGGAGCTGCTACGCGAACGAGACCCCTTGGCGCTAGTGATGCTAGCGCACTATGTTGTGCTCTTGCAATATTTGAAGCATCGCTGGTGCTTTGACGAGTGGTGTGTGAGGGTCTCCAAGGCTGTGTGGGCAATACTGGATGACCAGTGGAGGCCGCTGATCCAGTGGGCAATGAAAGAGATTCTCGGTATCAACTATATGGAGCAGGTTGACACTTGATGTTCTGAAGCATTTCATTGGTACATTCAAATTCATATTCATATACCCAAATTCAAAGCGTTGAAACAGCGGGAGAAATTCTATAATCAATCAAAAGAAACACAGTTCGAATCTCCACCTGAAAATTTTCAAAAATCATCACAACTAATCTTGAACCTAATCCGCCAAGCCTCGTTTGAGCACTCCATGACCTTCAGCCTACCCATAGCGGTTACGACTTTTCCTCTGCCAAGAAGATACTTCACCTCGCTAGGGTGAATGATAGCGAAAACTACCAACAGAGTTAACATCAACATTCCATCGAAGACACATATTAAAACCTCATGCTCCGTGAGATAACCATTCGTGCCCTGGGAGTACTCCACGACACGGATGATGGATCGAATGAGAACAAGGATGATGGATGACTGCAACGCCCACATGTGCTTGCGCCATGGGTACTGGTCAGCCACCGCAAGACATTCGGAATGAGAGTCTAGGCGCTTCTGGGAAACGACCGCACTAATCAGGAAGAAGCCGAAGAGCACGATTTGCACGATGAGGCCGCTGATGATGACATGCTAATAGAGGATGATGGGTCGGTGGAGCTTGAGCCGATACCCATGATTCCCGCACCTGTGGGGGTATTAGCATTGAGTTTCAAAAGAGCCAGGTGATCTACACCAGTCGCGAAGAAAAGGCAGAAGGACAGAAACATACCAGAAGCCTGCATTAAGAAACTCAACACATCACCCGTAACGAGAATCTTCGTCATCCAGTCAACCCGAATCAGAGCAAACTGCTCCCCCTTGACTATAACGATAATCCGACTCAATTCCATGTGGATACTGGCTGCGAATAGCGGCGCGATGAGAAGTAATGTGCTCTGCATAACATAGGGTCCGATGGTCCAATTAGGCGATTCTTTGGATGACATGACGCGGCCGATATACCCAACTAGCTCGACTGAGTTTTTGAGGGGGGAATTAGTTCTGGAGAAGTCTGGATTTTGCTTGGATCTGGGTATGAGGTGGTAAATAGAGTATCCGCCAATCATGAGCGGGATGACGAACCATGTTCTCGTGCGGAACATATGAAATGTGTGCATCAAAGTGACAATTGCAAATGAAATGATGAATACCACTGCTGTGCCTATTGAGGGGTAATATTCGTAGGCGGTCCAGCCGGGGTGCGAAGACATCTTGAGTGTAGATTGAGCAGTTAAGAGGCAAGGCCAAATTGAATTGCATCAATGACATGGAAAACTAAAACGATAGACCACTCTCTCCATTCTTATATATGCTCAAATTCAGAACGTCTACCTAAATCTCAAACAGGGACCGAATAGTCTTTGGAAAGGGAAAGGAGAATTTGTATACAACATGCCCGTACCCGGTCCTCGCCAAGTAACCCCACCCCCTTCGCTACACCCGAAGGGGGTGGGGTTACTTGGCGAGGACCGGGTACCTTCGTAATGTTTTCCCGATATGGATAAATGGATACCCCGCTAGACCCGCTGGGGAGCCCAGTACGAAATACGAGAGTCTAAAAATTCTTATCTAATCTAAGTGGAGACCCATGTGTTTGGCTGAGTGTACGGTGCACATCTCGTACATTTACGAAGTAGAGAGGCTGGAAATTACATCTGGGCTCTACAATCTCGCCTGCTCACTTCCATTTTGCAGCACATACCGATATCTCGCTTTCCGCTCATGAATATCAACTAGCGCCTGATTAACATCCACCATATCCCTCTTCTGAATCCAAGGCAAGACCCTCTTCTCTGCAGCCAGAGCCAACATAGCCTGTATATCACCCGGGGAACCAATATTTGAACCAGTGACCTTAACACCCTTCTGAATAAGACTTCAAGCCATAAGCGGCGGTAACGCATCCTCCGGTGCCCCAATCTGCACAAAAGTCCCATCCCGCTTAAGCAATCTCAAATACTGCGCAAGCGGCATATCATGCGCCGAAACCGTACACAGAGTAACATCGAGCGAATGCGAGTTTTTCTTCGCCCACCCCTTCTCCTCGCCCGTAGCGATAAACCCATCCGCCCCAAGCCCCCCAACAGCATCCGCCTTCTTCCCAGACGAGCGCGAAATGGCAACAACCCGATCCGCTCCAAGCGCATTAGCAAACAAAATCCCCAAATGACCCAGCCCCTCAACTCCAATAATCCCAACTGTCTTCCCGGGCCCAACGCGGCACTTTCTCATCGGCGCAAACACAGTAACACCCGCACACAGCAGCGGCGCTGCCTCGGCCGAGGGTAGAGCATCCGGAATCCGGAATACGAAATGTGCAGGCCCGCGCCATTGATCAGCAAATCCACAATACGATTTCGACTTGTCGCTATACTGTCTGTTGTACGTGCCTGTCATGCGGGTGCAGTAGGATTCCTCGCCGTCGGCGTAGGCTTCGTAGTCTGCGCGTAGACAGGCGCCGCTCTGCGCGCCGACGCCAACGTGGTCACCCAAGTGGATTGTATTGGGGTTAGATTTGGATTTGACGGCGCTGCCGAGACGTGTTACTATGCCGATTATCTCGTGGCCGACTACGCAGGGGTAGTCGGTTGGTCCCCAGCCTGAACGGAGGGTGTGGATGTCGGTGCCGCAAATACCGCAGTGGGAGATAGAGATTTCGACGTCGGTGGGTGTGAAGGGTTTCGGGGTATAAGTTGTGTAGGATTGGGGGCTTTTGGCGTCGCGGGCGACCCAGCCCTTGAAGGTACCTGGCTCCATATGAGGGGACATTTGTTGGTGGCTGTTATGCTGTAGAGATGTGCCGAAGTAGAAGTGGCGCTGAGGGATGGAATGAGTAATTGGAAGCTTTTTGGTAGGTTCCTGAGGTGTGTGGAACTGGAGACCTCAAATTTAGTTATTAGGTTGTTAGTTATGAGGTCGAATAGTACAAGGTAAATGCATGAAAGAAGCAAGCTCGGCACAAGATGCGGAAAAGTCGAAGGCAAGTTACCGAGGTCCATTTAAACTAAAATTAGAAAATACACAAGATTTCATGTCCATCGTACGCAATTTTGCAAAAGTGACTACATATTTACATGCACTCGCTCGAAGTATGTACAGTGCAGACTAGTGGGGTAATTTATTGATCTTTCACCGGGCCATGCCCATCAGATCGTCAAGCTCATCAGTGGTGAGAGTACTCCGACGCCGGTTTGCTGGCCTGGAAGCCTTCTCGGGTCGGTTTCTCTTTCGTGACTCGCGCTCTTTTTGCTCATTTTGAGCGGCGCGGGCCTCGTCTTCAACAACGGCCAGTTTTTGGTGCACGCTTAGTGATTCAATGGGTTTTAGCTGTAGGGCGAATTAGTCCTCGGATCTCATTGGGCACATCTTGGAAAAACTCGGGGGAATCTCCTGGGAAAGCGTTCTCGTTGCATACCTGACGGGGTTCCTTTGTTACAGTCTTTCGCCGGGTAGACCTGCGGGTCACAGTCTCGGTTTTGTAGGCTTTGATTTTGAGAGTATCGTCGTCGGTAGTATCCATACAGGGTGAGCCCTGTAAACCTGGCGTAAATGAGACCTTCCGGTGACGTTTTGTCATGAGGTTTTCATTGCGTTCCCTCAGAACGCGATCGGGCCGTTCGGGTACTTTGCGAACCTTGGACCTCATCTTCGAAGGATTGAGCGTCTCGAGGTCTGGTACTTTCTCCTCCGATTCACTAATATCGTTCTCCTCATCTTGGTCCTCCAGGATCGTCGGGATGGGGTTAGAAACTGGCAAGCTTTGCAGGCTCATGTCCTCGGTTGAGTTAGTGCTGAGATCGAGATTCATGCCGCGCTTCAATTCATCCGCTTGAACAGAATCTCCCCCATCTGCAAGACGACGCTGCCATCCACCCATCATGTTAACTGCCTGTTCCCACCGGGACTCCATCTTCACCCAGCCTTCCCGAAGTCGTTTGATCTCCTCATCCCTCACTTCAACCTCCTCAAGAGGCACGAATGAGGGGTTGGTAAGCAATGTTCGTAGATGCCCTAGCACTGCTTCCATTTGAACGGATAATTCTTCGCACGACGTTGGAAGCGAAGTAACAGGCCCCGAAGAAGACTTTTGAGCTCCTACGCTCGTAGCCATACCCGATTGCTCATTTTCGCCACTTCCATTCTCAGCCTGCGTCAAGCCTTGTAGATCCTTCAAAGTATAAACAGTACTTCGCGCAAGCTCAATTAGAGTATCATTCTCATCACTGAGATGCTGACATAACTCGGTCAAGAAGTTGGTGGTCTCCTGCTTCAAGCTATATCCAGGGTCATGTACTCGCTCTCCACCGCTGGCCAGAAGACGAGATCGATCCCACGCAGGATTGATGTTGATAGTAGTCACACTCAGACCCTCGCGCTTGCCTCGTTGTCTCTCAGCCAGGTGCGACTTAAGCTTTTGCATTTCCAGATCCCGCTTGCGAATATCATTGGCGCATTGCGCTCGAACTTGTTGGACGGTACTCTTCATGCGCTGGACTTGTTCCTTCAAACTTCGGATGTTCGCTTCGGCACGGGACATGTTGGACTTAAACGTGCGCTCTTGGGCCTCTGCCAGAGCTAGCGAGCGGGTCAGTTCGGACGTTTTCAATTTTAGTTTTCCCTGCACAATCCATAAAGGTTAGCGCGCTGTGAGACATGAGTAGCGTAAACATACGATCTCCGTGGTCTGTTCCGCCTCGGTGGCTTGCAGCGTGCGAATCGTCGTGGATAAGTTCTCACGGTGCTCGGACTCGCGCTAGAATTTGTCAGTCGCTGGTTGAGTCAGATTCTAGTGCAGCAAACACACATCTCGTCTCAACACTAAATCATTGACCAAGTTGATAACGCGAGCCATTGTGCCGTCTATCCCTCCATCTTCATTTTCTGGGTCGGCAAAATCGATTGCGCGACCACCTTTCAGCAAGCCCCTTGCCAATAAGATGTTGTTGACATAGGTCGAAGCTGCCTGCAGGTTATGCGACTCCATGGCAGCGATCACTTCTATTGTCACAGATGACCCCAAATGACGAATGGGGAAGAAAGTAAACACGGGAGGTGCGGGGGCCCTTTCATGCCAAGTGTGCAGTTTATAGGCGGTGAGAAAAGATAAGAGATTCTGCCCGTTTTATTGCGAAATTGTTTCGCGAGGCGTCAGTGCTTGGGTATTTTCCGAGAAGATACCTATCAAGAGCTCTTCGCAACAAATGTCCATTTATCGAAATGCAAAGGAGCCAGCCTTGCTAGCCAGAAGCAACTGAATGATATCCTGATGGTAATCTAGCGTGTTGGAATTTGCATTATAAAGAGTGGGTATAAACCATCACCCAACATCTATGTCTTGTTTGTCCCTTGCGTGGCATTAAATCTCTCGCTGCTACCCCACTACTTTATTTGCACCAACTGCCTTTGCATCTCCTCTTCAACATGGCTTCAAGGCCAGGTACGCGTGTAATACGCGGAGTAACACCTAAAAAGAAAGCCGACATGGAGCAAGCCGCTGCTCTTCAACGAGCAGGCCAAAATGCCTATAAAGTTGGAAATCTTCAAGGCGCCATTGACTCTTTCACCCAGGTACGCTCTCCTATCTTGTATATTCCATCGCGACTCATTTTCATCTGTTCATCTAGGCTTTGGCTGCAAACAGTGAAGACACTGGCATTTTGGATAATCGCGCCGCCACATATTGCAGGCTGAAACTATACAGCCAGGCCCGTGCTGATGCTAGAGCTATGGTCAAGCTTGCACCCAACGACGACCGTGTAACTACTCACCCCATCGCTTCTTTCCAGTTGTGGATTCATGGCTCACTCTAAACAAAGGGATTCCTGCGCTTGGCCAAGGTCTTGTGTCTAGATGGTAACTTTGACAAGGCCCGCGATATCTACGAATATGCCCTCCAGAAACTTCCAGCTGATCACACAGGCCGCAATGTATGTCTTTCTTTCTTTGATTTTCTGATTTTTGATGTTTACAATTTACTCTTGAATGTGGCATATCTGTCGTTATTTCTCTTGTGCCCCTTCCTACCTTACATTCTAGTGTTATTCAATCTTTTTTTCCTGCTACTAACCATTTCCAGGTCCTCGAGCAGTTGCTCAAGAAACTACAAGATAGGCTAGCAGGAGGAAACCGACGCGATCCATTTACGATCTTGCCACTTGAGATCGCAGAACTCACGCTTCGTCGCTTTTCCTTCAAGCAGATTGTGTAGGGTATCCATCCTCGCCGCTGAAGCGCACTAGCTCATTACAGCATATAGGGCAATCCTACGCGTCTGCAAAGGATGGAACCAATTTTTAGGCGGTCTGGCCAGCCTCTGGATGCATGTTGACCTCACCGGTGCTAAATCTCGTGTACCTTGGACATCCGTCCGAAACTACATCCATCGATCACGAGCGCAGCTGACCAGTGCCACCATTATAAATCTCGTGCCCTCTACTACGCCTAAGGTGCTTGACATGTTAAGCAGATGTCCCCAACTAGAGCACCTGGAATTGATGGTTCCTCATGACCAGCCTAAAGAGTTCTATCTGAAAATTAAAGACTTTCGACGCCTAAAGAGTTTTGTCTGTGGAGCAGACATCAGCCTTTCGCATGCCTGTGTTGGGAGTATATTAAGGAGCCTCTCGAAACTCGAGAAAGCTGCTTTTCTCCATGTTTGGGATAATCCTACTAGAGGCCCCCGACCCACGTCGACATGGCCTCAGCATCTACCAAATCTGAAGAGTCTAACTATTGCATCTTCACAAGAAAATGCTCACGGGTTGAGCTTCCCGGATGTACTCCCGGGGTTGGGATCGGTATGATTTCTGTGGATCTGATACCTAAGACTTGTGCTAACACAATCTAGTCTGTGTATCCCAATCTAGCAGAGTTGCGGCTGGTCTGGGATCCTGCACGATCACAATCATACCGATTTGATCCGGTGCAAGAGGAGGAACATCTCCCTCCAATCCGCATGCTAGATCTTCGTGGTGCGGCCGTCCAACAAAATTTCTATTCAATCCTTCCTACTAGCCTTGAAACCCTACGCTTTTTTTCAGGATCCATCGAGACTTCCCATCTTGGTGGAAATCTGTTCACCCCGGGAGAGAATGAACTCCCAAACCTGAAGACCCTGATATTCAATGATACCCCCTGGGTCAACCACTCCACACTCTCTCTATTCCTGATCCATTCCAAAGCTCCCCTTCGAACCCTTCATGTGAATCTTTGCCATAACATCAACAGTGAAGACTTCATTAATCTTCTTAACGATCCCGATGGAGCGAACCCAGAATTGAAAGAATTAACCGATGTGGGAGTCGCATGCATGGCTGGCATGGATGATTTGGGCGTCGGGAATCTGTCGGCAGTATTGCCAAACCTGAAAATGCTTGACCTGTCGCAGACAAGAATTACCGGCTGTACCATTCGCATGTTTGCGGATGCCCGGAACGATGAAACGGTCGTTGAAAAGCTCGAGGGCTTAATCATTAAAGGATGCGACAATGTGTCTCGTGATGCCATTGACTATGGACGACAACAGGGACTCAAGATTATCACTTAGTGTCTTTGCAAAATTTCGGAAGATTTTTCTCTTCGGCTTTTTGATTATAGAAAACTGCCTCGGGCATCAACCTTGTACAACACCATGATGAGAGATGCGCAAAGATACCTGGATTTGCATGAGAACGGCAAGTGAATATGAATATGAATACGAACTTGATCTCGAACTCCCTTGTTCGTGAATTGAATTTTTTTTTGACCATATTGTAGCCTCGCGATTGAATAGATCGTTCTGGAAATGAAAATGTGGTCAAAACCAGCTAGCGCAGACCCCTGGATGAGCATCAGCTGATACAATCCAAAAGGTCGAACTCTCCCGATCTTGTCCCCACAGAAGTACAGCCCGGCAATTGGTATTTCTTACTGAGGAAAAGAAACAAAGTCCGATTCTAGCGGGTGAAACGCTGGCTTGAATCGGCAAATAGACAAGAGAAATTCGGAATCCGACAGTTTTACACACGGGAATAGAAGATGACAGGGTCTTACTATCCCAAGAAATGCATTATTAAAGCCAGAATTTGGCAAAACTAGCTACCTAAACCCCCCGTTCCTGACACCACCGCTCAACCTCTCTAGCCAACTTCTCCTTTTGATCACGCACAAGCTCCATCATAGGCTCAACCTGTTTCCTATGCGAGGCAATAAGATCCTCATTGCCATTGGCAACAGCCACACCATCCTTCGGCGCAAGATTGTCATCATAGATTTTGACCATAAGCTCCATAACAGCGGAGAGCTGGTTGGGAAGCCACTGGAACCAACAATCAGCACATTGACATCAAAATCAGAGAAAGAGGACTTGTACTCACGGTAACAATGGGACTACCACCAGTAGCAGTAGGATGCGGCGTGCGACGAATGATGTACTCACGTGCGAACAACCAGTGTCGCCAACGGAAACTGCGGATGTGGTTCAGCGTGCGCAGGAAGAGGACTGCGGTCTCGGAGTCTTGGATGGCGTATTTCTGAACGCCGATTTCTTCGGATTTTTCGCGGATGTAGGTGAGGAATTCGCGGTGTGGGAGGGGGCGGTAGGCACGGAATTCATGGAGGATTTTGGTGAGTGGTGTTTCTGGCATGGGGATCTCGCAAAGGTGGTCTAGGAGGGGAATCTGGTATGCAGTTAGTTCGGGTGCGGTCCTTATATTTGGGTTTGCGTTTGGGTTGATTGGATTGCTCACAATGCTGTCGTTTGCACCGCTCTCACCGCGGAAGTAAAGAGGCTTGTTGTTTTCGCAGCCTTCGTAGATCACACCATTCGGGAACATGGATTGGTTGGTGATGCCAAAGATGAAGACGCGGAAGGAGAGATATTCTGATGGCTTGGAGTTGCCCCACATGTCTATTTCGATGTCAGTTTGGACGATCTGGAGGATGGGACTATTGGCATGATTTGGGGGGCTGCATACCTTCCATAGATGCTTCGATTTTCTCCATCGATTGCAGAATCTCTCGGAATCCGTCGTTGATTTCATGTCGGGAGCCATGCTGCTCAAGGGAATCAACGACCTTCAAGACACCTCCAATAAGCGGGCCGGTCTCTTTGACCATGTCGACGTGAGTCAGGATGAAGCCTGCCTCGGAGCTCTTGGGGTCGAGACCTTTCTCGAAAGAGCGAATCAGACGAAGGTTTGAGTACTCGCTCAGACCTTTGGCAGGGTCAGCGACGGTGTAGTTGAACAGAGCATATGAAGCCGCATATGACATGAAAGGTGGTAGGTCCAGGCTGGGGATGGTTGTTAGTGATAGTGTTGTTGCGAAGACGTGTATGAATATGATCCACAATATGGCGAAGTAAGACAGGAAGAATAAGAAAAGAGAAGACTTACATCTCAGCACAGCGATACATAGGACGAGCAACGGACTGGGGCAGGACATCACGACCAAGTCCATAGCCACCTTCCGGGTCTTTATTCCAGTGCTCCCAGCAAGGCTCGAGCAGGTAAGACGAGGCCAGGAAAGTATAGTCACGGAAGACCGCAGCAATAGTAAAGCGATCATGCGAGCCATCCGCGAAGACCAGCTTCTCAACCTCGTCAGTCAGGTCGGTAAGCTCAGCCTTGACAGCAGGGCCAAGCTCATAGGTAGCTAACAGACCGGGCTTACCATCGAGCCTGACGACAGGGAGGCGGTTAACCAGAGACAGCAGGGCGCTGAAGGCTTCTGGTAGCTCAGCAGGGGCAGTCTCATAAGGCAAGAAGCCAGTCTTGGTAGTGATGGTGAAAGGGTCTAAGGAGTGGGAGATCGATGAAGGGTCATCATGGATGTGAGGGAACCGCTTCAGGGTAGTAGGGGAAGGGTAGGGCACTTGGGTTCGAGTCATGATAGTACAATATGAACCAAAGGAAATGATGGAAAATTAGTCTGTGATGTGTGGGGTGTGTTGGGCTAGTGTAAGAAATAGTGTAGATGTATAAGCCAAAAGGCAAACGAGAGGGCCAAAGGCCAAGTCAAGAGGCTCGAAAGTAGGGAAAATCGGTAAAAAAAAAGAGGCAAGGAATAACCCAGGGGACCTTGGGAGATGAAAACAGAATTGGAACTTTGAGGTTCTGGGCGGGTGAGGAGCACATTCTTATAACACTTTGAGGCCGGTAACAATTCCGGCCTCAAGTCCACATTACGAAAGAGAGTAAAAGATAGCGTGGGCCCGGTGATATCCGGTACTGCATGGTGTAAATTGATTCTATCTATCTTATATAGCATTGGAGGCACTTTACATGAGTATATTTAGCCAAAATAGGAGATTTTGACATACATGTCAACATCTATTTGATCTATAGAACTGCCCAGTGAGAGAGGGCAGAGGAAGGTCACGAGGTTGCGCTAGTCCCGATACAGCATTTGTTCTTCAAGGCAGTTTGACTGGTTTACCAGGGACTTCATGGACTTTTGTGATGGTGTATGTTGAATTAAATGTTTCAAGCGCTTATAACGAAGAAATTGACCACTCGATGATGATATATTACGGGTTATAGACCAAGATTGTCAACTCAAGTCATGATGTGTGCTCTATAGTTCATACGCTGCCAAGCATTGATCACCAGATTCCCCCTTTTGATTGGACGATAAGCCCCAATTTAACTTCCCTAGCGTTCGGAGGCCGGAATGCTACCGGCCTCCGAGAGTAGCCGACCTTGTTATATGTCCCGGGCAGATTTGATATAGGAAACGGCCTAAATTGGAATGACTTGTGTGATTTCTTGCGGTGATCCTCGTGATCCCCGAGATCAAACGAAAATCGGCCTATGAGCAGTTTCATCAATTTAATGCTTTTAGTGCTATGTTATTCGGCAAGCTTCAAGTCGTCTCGAAATACTTTTATGACAGGTACACAAGAACCTATCGCGAATTTATGCCCCAAAAGTACTCAACTTATTTGTGACCCTTGTATGACATACTCTGTGATTGAATGTAAATGTAAAATGTTTTTCATGGTTGATAATCTCACAATCCATCGATCACTTGCAGAAAGTTTTCACGTAAATATACGCTCAGTTCTATTCACCACCATAGTCCGAGAATTGCGATTAAAAATCCCATGCAACTGCGGCATTAAATACTGCAAGACTGCATCTCCCGCACCAGCCGGAAGCGAGCTCTTGTCGCCCCAATAGTGCCTCACCAGCTCCCCAACACATCCGGTAGCTGCGACCTCAGGGCACCCATTTGCTTCTCCACAAGACAAGACTCGAATATCTTCCGATCTGTTAAAGTCATACCTAACATAGTTCCCAAATGCGGATTGCTCGTGTGGCCACTCCCCACTCCACCTCCCGCAGTTTGGATAGCGCGTTTCGTTGGGACAATTCTCCCATGCCTCAAAGAGTTCATGGGTACGAGAGCTTTGCTGGGCAATAATAAACCCAGTATTGAGAAATGTGCGACCGTTCCAATCCCGGTTGTGGGGTGCGTCTGGATCGAGCGCCATGGCAACTAGAGTCTCCGGAGTGATATCCCAGTAGTTGAATAGCCATTCCATGGGTAGATTAGGATAGGGCATCATGGAATCTGCATCCAGGAATACAACGTATTCGTAGAGTTTCAACGCTTCCTTGATGGCAGTTACTTTGGTCCATGTCCCAGATCGTCCGACTGCCCTGGGGATTTGAACTAATCGGTAGTCGTAGCCATGGATCATTGCTAAGCTCATCAGTCACACAGTAGAAACATGTAGAAGCTTAAATACATACAGAACATGAAGTGATTGAGTCTGCCACTGGTATCTGGGGGAAGTTCGGTCGCGTTCAATGGAGCCTTGCTCAAAACACCCTTCGGGCCATCAAGATGGCGGCTGTCGACGTCCAAAATTAGAATTTTTTTTCCTAATGGTTCGGTGAACCTCAATGGTTCCGCAAGCCAGAAAACCTTCCCTGTGCGGCCATTAAATATAGGTTTAGAAATGGGGTGTATATAGGGATTGTAGAGCTCGTGGGCCGTGGAGAAATATAAGGGGCTCTTGACGGTCCATCGGATGGTTTTCCTTTACCAGAGTCAGTGTTCAATTTCAAAATTTTGCGTTAGGTGGGCTCGAACTGGGATGGCTGATCAATCAATGCATTGTTCAAGCAGGAGTAGACCCAGAGGAGCACACAGGCCATCAGAGTCGAAGTAAAGATGGCGGTAATCCGGCGAGGAAGTATGCGTCCTAACCTTGAATGGCGCATTGGGATGATGTATGCATGTAAAATGGAGTTCTAATATGTAGATTTGGCGTAATAGGCGTCGGTTGACATGACATAATGTTGATGAAGTAGTTATGGAAGGAATACTTACTTTCCCGTGCCATTCCATTTGAGCGCTCATCTCTTGCTGCTTTTTGCCCAGTCGACTAAACACGATACACCTTCATTTCACGATGAAGCTGCTGCCAGAGATGCGTTGTAGTTCCCTTTCCGAAGACTGTGTAGCCATTTGCGGCACATTTGATCTTGAGGGATGCACCATATGAGTCGCACTTGTTGAGCGGTGTCCAATTTTGAACATTATCTATATGCCAAATGCTAGTTCCGCTGGCGAGGAAAATCGGGTGCCGTGATCTGGTGTTTGTCACTTTGGCCTCGTGTATGCAAAGCCAAATTCGGAAAATTGTCTTCTAAGATGTCCTTCATTCTGCTAAATCCCAAGCAAACACCTTTGGGTACAGAACTGCGACGTGTGTTGTCGGCATCGATCTCCTGGGTTGCGACGAGGACCTCCCGACCGCGACGATTCCTGAAGAGGTGATATGACCTGGCTAAAGTTTCGCTTTCGTCTAGGTTCAGACAATGCCTCGCTTGGGTCAGAGTCCGAGCATAAATCTGGAAGATGGTTGATGTTCTGTGAAGACACACGGCCACTTTCAACATATGCCTGAGCCTTAGGCGTGGTTGATTGCAGAGGAGATGACGGCGGTTCGTAACCAGAGCCCGCATATTCTGAACCTGATGGGGTTTCCTGTAACTCCATGTCGGGGATTTGTGACCGTACAAGAGCAGAGCTGGTTGCCCTGGTATCTCGTTTGGATTGAGCATGCTTTCGCCTGGTTTTGTCACGGATTTGGGATTGACAGCTCATTAGAGCTAGACAGAGAATTCTAGCGATAGCTGTGGTCAGTTGTCGGTAGTTCAAGTCACCCTTTACCTCCATATTGGGCTCTTACAGGATGTGTAAAAGGGCATTCGGGGCTTCAAGCGCAACAAAAAGAAGAACTAACGTAAGGCCAATAGTCAAATAGGTTATTCAAGCCCTTCGCAGAACATAGTGTGATACTTCTGAACAAGGACCGCCCCGGGGGGACTGTCTGTTTTCTTCATGTGACTTTAGAAAAAGAGTCTTGTAGTCAGGAGAGCATTCGCAATCCATCTAGACTAAAGAATTGGATTTACCTGAATCTTGTGGACACCCATGTTGTCGGAAGTCCGGGAACCGAGAGGCATGTAGTCAGTCTTATGTCGGAGACCGACAAAAGTGAGATAACAGTGTGTAGCATATAGACCTCTGAGATATGCAGTATTGAAATTTTCTCAAACGGGAGTGTGACCAGTAAGATAATTGGCTTTTATCTATCTAGATTTTGAAAGCATTTATCCAGAAACGTTTTGAACAAGCTCAGAACTAATTATGCCTTTCAGATTCAACGGGAATCTTCAACCAAAGCCTATACCATCTCAATCAACGCATTAAGATCCTGGAGCCGTTGCTGTACTAGCTCCATATTGTCTGATTTCTCATGCAATGCGCTCTTGAGTGCACCGACTGCCTCCTTGGTAGTGTTTACAGACACTGCCTCCCCAGACTGTAGTTTCTTTTCCGCCGACTTGATAGTTTCCTTCGCATTTCGCATCTGCGACCAGTACGTTGCCGTCTTGTTGAGATATCCAGTCTCCTCAAGAGGCAAGTTCCACCCTTGAGGAGTCGTCTCGACAATATCCAGCCATTTGGCCATGTGCGGCCATCGGCGCTCCTCAAGACCCGGGAAATGCACGAGCAGATCCCCTCTCTTGCCTTCATAGGCCCAGTCCCATTCATATGTGTTGATCCATGGTCGTGGCAGGTAGGAGACTCCGTCGGCGTAACCTTTTCCGTTAATCCCCCCAGTGGTCTTATTGAGCACACGTCTCATACTCTCCTGATCGGCAGATCGACCGAGGTCAATTTGAGGGAGATATATAGGGTAGCCCATTGTTTCGGTGAGGAAATTGATCATCCAAGGATGAACATGGAGGAACATAATTCCCGTGTTAAGGCCATTTTGGTCTTGCGTTGCCACCAGGTGGATATCTTTCAGATCTGATGGCGGAAGGAAGATCTCCACGGGGATTTCGTTGTTCAGTATAATTGAGTCTGCATCTACCCACCTGCAAGAGTCAGTACTTCTCAAGTAAATTTACAGAAGAAAGCCATACATCAACCATTCCATTCTCTCGCCGGCTGGCTTGGTCAATTCATTGATCACCAAGGAGAGCAGATAGCTCGGTTTGTTCCAAAATCCGACTGAAATATCCTGTCGTAAGATATGCATGGGGTATCCCCATCGTTTTCCGTGGCGTTCATGGCTTTGCAGCGCTCTTTCGTACATATGGTTCGTCTCTCCGTACAGCATGGACACTTTGGCAACTCTTTGCAGCTTGTTACTGGGGACAAGATTTGATTGGGGAATAGGAAAGACCTTGTAAGACTTGTAGGTGACCCAAAAAACACACATCACCGATAGAACTATCAGAAAGATGTTCAAGGGCCGTTGTTTGAATGCCATTTGGTGTTGAATCATGGCAGGAGTCACCTCAGAGGTGCCAGACTTTTCATGGTAGACGAAAAGATGAGATATAATAGTTTCTTGAGATAGAAGAGACTATTGCTGGATTTAGAGTTGATAGTGTTTGATTGGAGGCCCGTACTGCCGGATTGGGAACACCGTTTTCGTCAACTCAACCACATCCAATAGATAGCAACAGATGAGTCCAATAACCCTGATGTATCCATATGCATTAGCTCAATGGTTGTAAGAAAAGCCTCATATATCTAAAACCGACGAAAATGAGCAACGTTGCGTACGGGTACGGCCCACTGCCTATTTGCCGCGTGTGAAGACCGCAAGGGTGATGTACTTCGATGAGGTTTCTGCGTAGATTGATTATAAATATCAATTTTGCAGGATCCACAAACAAAGGTTTTACGGCTGACGGCGGCATCTAATAGATTATATGAAGACCTTCAACCGTCTAGACTATATGGGCCCACAGTACATCGTATGTTGTAGACCAAAAAATCACTATAGCACATCTGATAATTTTCGCTGCGACAGTTCATTTTTCATTCGACCCTGAGCTCTGCTATGGATAAGAAACTAACTTAGATTAATTGGATACTACAGCATGCACTATAAGATGTGACCAGGCAATGCCCGGACTGGGTACAGATGAGGGTATATTTTACACCAAATGTTTTCAAATATTTGTACAACGTCACAGATGCAAAGCAACTTTAACTCCTTGTTCCCATGCATCGGCGAATTGGGCGCCGTTAGGTTCATTGGTATGGCCAGAGCGCATCCAGATCAAATCGCAAACTGGATCGCGCAAAAGAACGCAGCACGACATCCACAGCCAAACACCTGCATCACTACCCCGTATTTTGACTGGTTGTATTTGAGTCGTCCGTGGTGCTGTGTACCGTCTGGAGCTTGAGGTACTCCTGCTCGAGGGTCTTTTGCATTTCAAAGTCGGCCTGGCGCTCTAGTCGAATACGCTGCTTTTCCATATCACGTTCGACACCTCTATGCATGGCCTAACATTCAAAAAATAAGCATATACCAGATGTAGAGGATCGAAGTCGTAACATACCGCTCTATCCGCCTCTTGTGCCCAGTGAACAAACCAGACAGTACCCATGGTGGCGAGGCCAGTGACTGCCAATGTAAACTTTGATGCGCGAGACATAGCAGAAAAAGTGAGAGCGCAGCTCGACACAGATGTTCAGCAATCAATGGTTACAGATAACGTTTAAACTTGCCGGCTGTCATCACAACGAGTGCGGGATCATCATCAGTATCAGTCCATCGTTCACCGGGCGGCGTTTGATGGCAGAACTCCCACCGCTCTGGGGCGATGTGTGGCTCCGATCGACCTGGGCTCAGAGCTCCAGACTCGCCGTTTAATCGTCCCTTTCCAGCCTTATTTGCCCTGTACCCTATTTCTAAAGCGAGGTCTCTAGCAAATATGGTAAGTAACATATCTCGGAATTGGTGGCCAGCTGCTAACGGTGGACATTAGTCGGCTCAGAACTCCGCTGGCATTCAGACTCTCCTCGATGTAGGTCTTGGTTATATGTTGAGCGCAGTGTGGAGATACTAACCACCGAACTGTCAGGCCGAGAGAGAGGCTCAGAAGATTGTGCAGAAAGGTAAGTCCATGTTGTGCTTACCCCTCATCGCTGCCTATCACAGACACTAATACGTCACAACACATTTAGCCAGAGAGTGTATGCAACACAAATTACCTGTCGACATTCGCCCCATTTAACTAACCATTTCGCAACTATACAGACCGTACTCAGCGGATAAGAGACGCTAAGTCAGAGGCCCAGAAGGAGATCGAGGAATACAGAAACCAGAAGGAAGCGGAGTACAAGAAGTTCGAGGGCGAGGTGAGATACAGCTTTTCCACGGCTGCCCTAGTAGGATGTCCTCGCAGTACTAAGTTAACCGGTCTCGATAGCACTCAAGCGGATACAAGGCATCCGAGGCGGAGGCCGACAAGGAAGCCGAGGTCAAGCTCCAGGAGATCAAGGAAGCTGGCAAGAAGCAGGGCGACAAGGTGGTCGCAGAACTCATTCGTGTGACGACCGACGTCAAGCCCGAGGTGCCTGAGAAGATCAAGGCATAATGTAGATACTCTGGGCTATCTTTTCTTTCCACGCGTGAATGCGCTTGCGTGTCTGTTCATCGATATCCAATTGTCGGACAATATGAATTTCTTCTTTGGTTTAACCCTGTGTATGTGATGTGGATCGAGCCTGTATGAATTCTGTTGGAACACACCTGCCGGCCTCCTGCATGGTGTTACTGGAGGTTGGCTTGAATCTCGGCTTTTCGATCTGCGGCAAGTGTGAGTGTTGATGTATACAACAGAGTGATCCGTCCGTTTCCCCCGGACTTACTATGAGCTTGTTGTAGAGGGCTATGCTTCGGTGAACCTCAAATGCATCACCACCCCGCTAAGCCAGACAAGACCCCCCTGATATCCGTCTTACTCAATGTCAAAGGATGGTAACCTGAGGCACAGGATGATTCAATGGACTGTCTGAGCCACTGAACAGGTTTCAGTACTGATGGAATTCGAATAGATCTTAGTGAAACGAGTCACTGTTGGTGCTTATCCGGGCGCTAGTGGCACTGTTGATTGTAAGGGGTGTGTTTACCACTCCATACATGTATCGGGCATAGATTTATCAAGAACGGGTTTATCATGTTAGGGCTTGACATGCACGTTGAATGATATAAATGGCCCGGCGGTCGCCCCTGGTTATCTTTCTGTGCATGTGCCATGGATTCATCTTCAATATGTGCCGATGTACCTTGGAATGATTGATGATTGTTTTGAATTCTTTGCGCGCAAAAGAGGCGCTTTTTTATAGTCCATCGCTGCCTGAAGAGCTATTAGAGGTCACAATTCTTTTCTCGTAAATAGGCCATGCGCTGGAAGAAGACTGATGTATGCGTTGTGTTGGCCTGAGGCACCAACAATGTTTCCCTGTTGTGTCATTCCGTGCCGGATCTCATTTGACAACCTATCTGCGGGCGAAGCACAACAATGAAATATGCAATTCTTATGCAGAATACACTCAAAGGGTCTTCAATGGCCTGGTACTCATACGGACAGACTGTATGTCGCTCGAACAACAGGTGGTATCACGGGTCTCCGTGCAGACCCAGGCCAAGTCTCGAACCGCGATTAGAAGACCACGGCAAAGTAATTGTCGATGAGTACTCAATCATACGTGATACATATGGTATGCTACTTTTGATTTGAATAGTGCAGTCAACTGCTGACTCACCTGCAGCTGCACCGAAATACCCTGTCGTTCTCGCCCATGGCTTGCTCGGGTTTGATGAACTGCGCCTTGCTGGCCCATATCTCCCCGGTGTTCAGTACTGGCGCGGAATTAAAGAGGTATTGGTAGCGCGAGGTATTGAAGTTATCACGGCGACAGTGCCCCCGTCGGGCTCTATTGAGGCGCGGGCTGAACAATTGGCTCGAAATATCGAGGCCGAGGCTAAAGGGAAAGATGTTAATATCATTGCGTATGTCACCTTCATTTGCTGATTCCATATATCAGCATCTTCTGACAGGTTTTTGTATAGACATAGCATGGTAGGACCCATTAATCATTGCGATAGAGTTAATACTTACCTGTTATTAGGGGTGAGACATAACGAGAGGACCATACTATACAGCGCAAGCTAATTAATGGCTTGTAAAGTGGTCTTGATTCGCGATATATGATCAGTCACATACGACCGGAGAAGTTCAAAATTTTGTCACTGACTACTATCGCGTCTCCGCATCGAGGTCTGGCGCAGCATAGCTTTTAATTTGCCTTTCTACTAATTGTCTGACAGGCTCATCTGTGGCGGACTATATATTTGATCAAATTGGAGGTTCGTCAATGTTTGCTTGCTTACTGACATAGCTCAAAAGATAACATTATTTTCTATCCAGCCGATCGCCTACCTCAGATCTATTATGCTCTTCATCGACTAAATGTCGAGACGGGTGCATTTTCGCAACTAACACGAAAATACATGACGGAGACCTTCAACCCCACTACCCCAGATATGGATGATGTTAGGTAAGTGCCCTGTATTCTCTCCACTTTACGCCCTTCTAACATTCTCCAGATATTTCTCCTATGGAGCAGCTGTGGAGCCAGGTGTATGGTCCGCTTTTCGGCTTTCACACCGAGTACTTGCGGAGATTGAAGGGCCCAATGACGGCCTAGTCAGCGTGTCTAGTAGCCGCTGGGGAGGCGATGCAGGATACAAAGGAACCCTCATGGGCGTGAGCCATCTAGACCTGATCAACTGGACCAACCGGCTCAAGTGGCTAGTCGGAGAAGTCACGGGCAACAAACGGAAGTTAGTTGATTGCATATTGTATTTCGGGAATTAAGCTGATCTTAATGCAGGTTTAACGCAATTGCACTTTACTTGGACATTGCAGGTATGTGTTGCGGTTCTATTGGGTTATTTGGGACTAATAAGTCGCCTGTTCACTAGACATGTTGGCAAAAGAAGGACTTTGACGAAGTGAAACTGGATATAGTTGAATTCCCCCTCAGCCCTGTTGTGGCTGGATCCTGATTTGATATGGAAATTCTGGTGCCTGAAGTTGGGAGTCCTGGTTGTTTTCTTCCTATTCTTGCATCCTATAAACATTTATTTTGTATAGTGAGATCAATCTAGTAAATCTGTCAATTGGTGAAATAGATGATTAAATTTCAAGATAGTATATCTGGTATCGAAGTATGTAGCTATGAAAGAGTGTACAGACACAGTTAGACTTGTCCGGGAAATAGCGGAATTGTTTTTTAAAGTGTGGCTGTGGTAATATTGAGGCGCAGCATAAATACCAAATCTGACCTTGTAGACCGCGAGCCTTTGATGCAAAAGTCCCTGAATAAGCACGGCGAGACTGCGGCAGTTGCATGTTGCTTGGCAATCAGTTGATCCGCAAACGCCCAAAACGTCATTCCAAGATCCTTCTCATATAATCCGCATTTCCCCTCATCTTACGGGCCCAGCATCTTTTTCGCACTGAGCTTGCCATATTTGCAAGTTCCGAGAGCTTGATAACTTTCGTGCAATTTTTCTAGCGACCGCGTTTCCCCCTTTGACCTTTCAAACACCAACCGAAGAGAGAGCCCCGCCAGGGCCAGGGCGCCCGCCGCCATGTCCGCAAACATCATCTTGGACAGCCGCCACACCCATTATACAAATTTGGACTTCCTCAAGGGCAAGGTTGTGCTACAGCTACCGACTGAAACAGCCATTGGGGCAATCCAGGTCAAACTGGAGTGTGAGAGCCGCACCCGTCTATCCGGTCCCAAGAATCCCCAAAATGCGCACTCGGATAAAAAGCGAACTGAGCTTGAGGTTCATAAGGTAAGAAGATATGGTCTATCGTACCTATCGATGAGGCAAAATACTGACTGGAGGATTGGTTAACTAACGAATATAGATCTTGTACAAGGTTGCTACCGTCTTCCCGACACCGGGTGTGATGCAGAAGGGATCCCCTACGCCTGCATATACCTTTGCCGCAGGGTCATATGAGTACCCTTTCGAATTCAAGGTAAAGAGGCTATCATATTGCAGTTGGAACACTTTTAACGCTCTACTAGTTTCCCTTCAATAATTCGTGCAGCACCGCCAACAGCATGCTCACCAATCTAAACTTTTCTGGGTTAAAAGTCGAGGTAGCTAAAGACACCAACCGACACGTCCGAAAGACCCTCCCACCGTCTTTAAGCGGGTTTCCGGGCGTAGCAGATATCAAATATTTCGTCAAGGCCACAGTCATCCGGCCGCAGTTCTACAAAGAAAACATCAGATCGGTAAGTGATCTCTTTGGATAAAACGCTATCATTGCACTCGCTAATTGATTTCTCAGATTGTGCCTCTGAATTTCCTTCCAATTGAGCCACCAAGAGTCGGGAATCCCAATGAAGAAACCTACGCCAGGCGGCAACACCAATTCCCCAAGATGCATGTACCGCACAAGAAAAAAAGTATCTTCTCACGGGGATCTTCTGCACCCCGAATATCATACGCAGAACCTCCTCGGGTGTCTGTGGATGCTCGACTGCCGAACCCGTCTATTCTCACTTGCAACGAACCTGTCCCCCTCCGTCTCATCGCTAAAAGGCTGACCGAGGGACCGGACGTAATCTTCCTCCAGATGTTGCAGGTGGAACTAATATCCTTTACGAAAATTTTGGCCCATGATCTTAACCGCACCGAAATTAACTCATGGCTTATCATGAGCCGCAGCAATCTGAGCATCCCATTGGGCAGGCCAGAGGACCCCGTAGGCACTGATTGGACCATTGATCCAAACCTTTGGAATCGGTCTCCCTTACCTAACTCGGTGGCACCGTCATTTGAGACATGTAATATTGAAAGATCTTACGAGCTGGAAATTCGACTGGGCTTAACTTATGGAGTCCAGGTATGTTGAATCACCAACCCCTAGAGTTGTCTCTTGGCTAACCATGTCATAGCCTCAGCTTAGTGTTCTGCCCCTGCGATTGCCAGTCAGAGTGTTCTCGGGAATTGCCCCACCGCAGGCCCTCCTGGATGCGATGGCCGCTGCATCACTTCAGTCATCTGCCTCTAAGATGAAACCCCAGCCCAGCTTGCCAATAGAGGCGGGAAACAGCCGACCGCCCGTGCCACCACGGCCAACAGGCGAGCCTGTACCCGTCAACTCCGGAGATATATATGACGATGCACCACCCAGTTACGAGGATACAATGGGAGACCACCTGAGTCCAGTGGACGGACCGCGCCGCGAGTATCACCCACCAGAAGCCTCATCACAACGCACACTAGAATCTGGAGCTGATTCAAAGTCCGCAGCCCAACCGGGCAAGGCGCTTGAGGATGCAGAAGGATCCTCATCCTCGGCGCCTCGTCTCCGAGGCAATCGTGCTTCCTCAGAGTCCTTCGACATGCTACCTACCACACCACCGGAATCCCAATATGGATCGCCTCCCGCATCCCCCGTGAGACGTCCAGCGAGTATGATGAAAGTTCCTCGAAACACCGTTGATGAAGAAAGCCCGCCACAGTATGAGCCTGTTGCGGGGGATCAGCTGAACCCTCCCCAAACTGTGCAACGCCAGCCTTCATGGAATAATCTTCGTCCTATGAACTTGGGTGTTCCTAATCGGAAGCCTGTGCCACGAAGTCCGAATCCTAAAGGCTAATGGGTTCAATAGGTTGTTTGATTTAACTAACTTGGTCACATTCTTCCCTCTTACACGCTCAGTATCCGGGTTTGAAATTAATTGGAGCTCCATGGCACTTGACCAGTGTTTATTCCAGCACTCACAGCATTGCCCATCAAATCATCTGCGTTATTGCTACCTTCAAACCTTGATACCCCATCAAATTTCAGTGTTGAAAAGTGTGTTTACAATTTCCCTTGTTCTTGAAATACACCATAGGTCTATGGGGACGTTAGTGCCTGGTCAGAGAGAAGAAAAAAAAGAGAAAAATTACCCAATTCAACAAATCAATTTGTCCTTAACTCTATCCTATCTCCAGAATACACTAGGCTACTAATAGAAAAAAGAGAAGAATTGAAATGCCAATTATTATGCAGCCACCTCATAGTTCATATTAGAATGTGCGAAGGACAAGATAAGAAATAGTTGAGAAATATAAGAGCTTACCTAGTGACGGGACTACTCGTATCATGTAGGTAGTCGTAATGTGCAGTGGCAAGTAATACATTGATTGTTTGCCCTGTGATTCTGCAACTTCTCTCTCTCTCTC